AATCAAGGGATGAATGTATAACATCAACATGATAAAGCTTTTTGGAACTAGGTGCCTTTCAGTGTTGGCAACACTGAACTGTGGATTCCAGCTTCAGTTTGATGAGGACAAGAATTTGAGGGATCACTTACGTAAGATATCCTAGAATATAAATCATCCAACAAAAAATGGGCATTCAAGAGAACTTATGAGTAAGGAGGGAGGGAGAAAAAGGGGTGAAGAAACAAGGAAGAATAAAGTTATCAAGTTAACCCCTCCACATGGACAGCTCACTTTCTTAGGGATCTAAATTCCTCTAATCTGTCAATAGTTCTTAGTGGGTGAACGTTCGGTTTCTGTGGGTCATTTTTGGTTGTCATGGCTAGGGGGTATTATTAACACTTGAGAACCCCAAGAACAGTGGAATTATTTCACATGATAAATTAAGTCCTGCAGGGCATTAACACAATGTTTTGGGTAGTGTTTATATACTTACATTTTCTACGTACACAAGTTGCTTCTTGCTTTTTTAAAACTGTACTTGTTTTGCTTGGAATTTCACCAATTTCAGAAGGTCGTATCAAGACAAGAGCGTCAGCCACGGCACATGAGTTGTTGATACAAAACAGTGTTTGTGGCTGTCCCACTCACGGGGATTCTAGGCAGAGGTGTAAGCCGCTGATTACTTCATGGGTTTTTACGCAGCTTTGCTTGTGTATTTGCATATTACATGCATTTCTACTTTCTTTTTATCTGTCATTTACATTAGAACATCATATTTTGACATTGTGGACATACATGTATATTATCTGTGAATTTCAGCTCAGGACTATAAAAGGGATGTTATCTTATGAAAGAGTGTCAAGATCTGATAATTGATGACAAGTAATCTTTGTCAAGACTTGAGCCCATGGTTTTACATCTTTTTTTGTTGGCCACCCTGATAATCAAAAGATAGTGACTTACTTTTAAAAAAATTATTGCAACGAGGTTAAAGCTACTTCTTAAAACATCATAGGGAGCTCTTGTGGCCTAGTGTTAAGAAGCTGTGCTGCAATCCCAAAGGCATGTGGTTCAGATCCACTAACCGCTCAGCTAGGGAAAAGGATGGGCCATCTCCTCCTGTGCAAACCCTCTGGAGGGCCAGCTCCAACTCAATAGTACACAACAACAACAACAACAACAACTCAGAATATCAAAGCAAAAACCAACTTAAAGGTCTATTTGAGAAACCTTCATTTCAAAAGCTTTAGGCCAGGGGTCAGTAAACTTTTTCCGTAAAAGGCAGGCCAGAAAGTAGTTGAGACTCTGAAGGCCACATGACCACTCACCCAACTACTGAAACAACTGAGCCCCCCTCACCCCTCCCCCTGCTGTGTCAAAACGATCCCACAGAAAGCACTTGGCACTGTCTATTTTACCTTATTTCTCACATGCTACAAGTGTCTTTGGAGGTCTTTTTAACCATTTAAAAAAAAACCCCACAAATATCACTGTTGGTCTGTGGGCCACACAAAAATTAGGTGGTATGGTGTCACTCTGGAGACTAAGGTGCGTCTGATACAGGCCATGGTCTTTGTAATCAGTTGTTATACATCAGAGAGTTGGACAATAACCAAGGAGGATAGAAGGAGAATTGATGCCTTTGAGCTGTGGTGCTGGAGAAGAGTACTGAGTGTACCATGGACTCCCAAGAAAACAGATTCATCCTGGAGAGGGTTAAACTGGCTGCTCCTTGTAGGCAAGGATTCTGACATACTTTGGACATACTGTAAGGAGGGATGGGTCCTTGGAGAGGGACATCATGCTTGGGAGGGTGGAGGTATGGTGCGAGAGGGGAAGGCCCTCTATGAGGTGGATTGATTCAGTGACTGGGGTAATTGGGATGGGTGTGTCAGAGCCAGTGCGACTGGCACAGGATAGAGCAGGGTTTTAGGGCTGTTGTACATAGGGTAGCTATGAGTTGCAAGCGACTCGACACATAACAACAAGAACAGGTTGGATCTGGCCTGCAGGCTGTTTGCTGATCCCTGCCCGTTATTGCTGCGTGTTGTCGAGTGTCCCAACTCATCACATGCCCACACACAATGGCACAAAATCCCGCTTAATCCTGTATCATCTTCATGATCTCTACTGTGCTTAAGCCCATTGCTTGCAGTCACCCCGTTACTGTCTCATTGAGGGTTTTTCTTCATGAATCCTCTACTCTTCCAGACATGATGTCCCTCTCCAGGGACTGGACCCTCCTAATATCCAAGTGTGGTAACATGAAGGAGCCCTGCTCTGGTGGTACAGTCCATGCTGTGGTGGTAACCGGAAGTGTGGTAACTAACGTCTAGCCTACCCTGCCATGTCTTGTTTCCTTGCTCATTGCTTTATCCACCCACATCAAAAACCAAGAGCCTCTTCACCATAAAGAGCTCTGTAATATCTTCTATGCTTTAGGTGCAATATTCAAACTTTGTCAGAAACTTAGGCCAGGCCACAGTTGAGAGAGTGTTGATAGAATCGTGTATTGGGAGTGTTAAATGAAAACGGAAACAGAATAACACTGCGAAACGCACTAAATTTGAAAAATAGGCTTTATTTTAATCAGTGGTTGTATGACATCCTATATGGCATAACTGATTACAGTCAAGTTCATGAATACAAATAAAATTGCAGTTTCCCTCATACTCTCTTGCTTTCTATTCAGAGAAATCAGGAGAGGGGGAGCACTCTGCTCAGAAACCAAGGAGCTCTTCCACAAGATCCAGTTTGGAGTCCAGGCTCCTGGAGCATGCAGTCTCCTAACACGTATGTGGTCACATGTGCAAAGACCTTTATTAAAAAATATTCAGCGCAATATTTCTGTAGGAAATCACACGAGCACTTACAACCAAACATGGCTGATAAAATTCATCTTGCTGTAGATTACAAGTGAGGATTTGAACTGCATATATATAAAGGAGAGGAGGCCTTCAAGTTCACTTTCCTTTCAGGAGGTGGAGAGTCCCAGGTAAGAGGGAATCACCACCAGCCTGCCTCCAGCCTTCCTGACCCAGATGACCCAGGGCTATCACCCTGCCCTCTGGAGTCTGCATTATAACTACATGGGATGGGGAAATGGAAACACCAAGGACCAAGTTCAAGGTGTTGTCGCATAGCCAAGTGCCTCTGCACTTCCTTTTTTCCACAAAAGGCTTTTAAACATGGGCTTTTATGTAGCACAAGATGCCTGAAATGGAAAAAAAAATGATGGAAAACAACTCTTCTCCACCCCTGAGGATATTTCATCTCTAAAAAGTTGAAAATACAAAATATTAAAATAATTTCTTTTGCCCTTTCTCCCCCATCAAAAGAAATCACATTCCCAAAGGATTCCTGCAATATAGGAAATTCAGAGTCAAAATTTCTCCCCAAACAAGAAGTCAATGTTAAGCTGCCAAGAAGACCGTTTTCCACAAAGGGGTGAAGAAAAAGACTTGTTACTTTTCTCAGAACCATATTTAGAAAAAGATAGCAAAATGAGTTTCTGGCCTCATGAGTTTTTCTTTTTCATGGTAAGTTTCAGGATTCCTTAGCGCTGGTTACTGGGAGAAAAAGAGGACAACGTGTTTTCCAAAGTTTGGGACATTCCTGGGAGAAGCCCTGGTCTTCTCATGATATCGCTCGCAAAAGAGTTTGTTTAAAAATCAAGATAGCAAGAATTAAAATGCTATATACATCCATCTGTTCCATTTCTTTATATTTTTCACATCAGAAGCACCTGGATTAACAGTTGTGTTCAACACAAAATAGCATTTGGGGCTGAAGGGAGGATGATGACGTCACCTGCCCACAACATCAGCTGAGGTGACACAGGAGCTGAACTCCCCAAGAGGTCTTCACTGGCAAACGTGCCTGCAGCCAGGGTCTCCCGAAGAGAACAGGACAAGCAGCTGTGCATGCGCAAATAGCAAGACATGCAAAACACATCCTCACTCTGCTAGGAATAAAGAGCACACGGGAATACACTGACAGAAAGAACCTGCTTCTGACTACCGGGGCCAAAATTCAAGAAACCTCTGTGTGGAAGGTGAGGGGGAAGGAGAGAGATGGCAACACCACGAGAGGGCACGGGAAACACAGACACACCACTCACACACTCATTCAGACACACACGTGGCCTCCAGAGGCTCCCTGCTCACTAGACCACCCTGTTCATCACTAGACCACCCTGTCCACTTGCCTGGCTCAGAACTTCATCTGCTGCACTCTCTCCCTTTCTGTTTCACACATTTTTCTTTCCTTTTAAGGCACAGACATATTTACAATTTCAAATACACCCTTTCAAGTTCTGAGGATGATACTAAGCAAGTCAATCATGGGTTGGCACTGAGAAGCAGGCTGGTCCATTGCAGCTGTACATGTTGCTGAGGGACTGCTTCAGCTCTGAAGGGCAGAAGGGGGTGAGGTTTCTCTCTGGGCCACTGTGTAATGCAGTCACGTCTACTCCCCACCATCAAGGTGGGGCCACAGGAGAGACCAATATGGTAAAAGCATGACTGGGGTCTAGCATGTTTAATATTTCCACTTTGTATTTAACAAAGACCTAACAAGAGAGGGAGCTCTGGTGGAGTGGTAAGAAGCTGCGCTGTAATCCCGAAGGCACGCGGTTCGAATCCACCAGCTGCTTTGCAGAAGAATGATGGGTAAACTCCTCCTGTGTGATTAACTGCCTCTGAAAACCTGCCGGAGGGTCAGTTATGGGTAGGTTCCAAGCCGACAGTACACAACAACAACAACAACAACAAGAAGATGGGAGCTCTTATCTGCCTACGCTGACACTCACAAAGAGAAGCTGGCAGAGGCTGCCAAAGAGTGATTGCAAGGCCAAATAGTCACTGTGACCATAGCTAATTTGCTCCTATTCTCTTTCCATAGAGAACACAAACATGCACACACTACAACATGCATGCTTACACGTACACACACACACACACACACACACACACACACACACCTTCCAGCACAGAGGAAATCTTTACAAGAGGCACTTGAATATTTGGAGAGTTCCCATGAAAAGGCCTTCCCCTCACAGTGAAGTGGGATCAACAGAACAGAAATCAGGTTCTCAGGACTCCATCTCTTCTTGGTCAAGGGGTGGTGGCACAAAGCTGATGACTTCATCATATGTCAGGCCTGGAAATCAGCGGGGAAAAGTAAGATGTTAATGTAAGATGGAGATGACTTCACCTCTCTTGACAGAAGAGATGAAACTTGTTTCACTAAACTGAAAAACATTCTGACTTCTAACCCTCAAATCCTCCTTCTCCTTTCAGATTAGTGGTTTGAAGGGCTACTTCAAATAACTGCCTCAGAGCCTGAGGCATAGATTCAAGGATACATATAAAATAGCTGTTTTTTCCCCTTGTTTCTTTCATCACTAAGAGCCTTTTTTTAAAGTCTCTGGAGAAGGTGCTCAGGAATAACAGAGCACTCCCACAAGTGGCAGTGAAAGGCCGGTTTGCCTTTTGGAATCTATCTGGGATTTTCATTCTGTGTCACAGGACAGCACACAGGAGAAACTAGATCTAAGTCTGTGTCCCAGAATTGTTCTACAGTAACACGCCTTAAATGATTTTTGCCCCATTCCTTACCCGCCCCCATCTCTGAGAGATGCAAATGTACAGATGAAAAGCCTTATGCAATGAGAGAAGGCTATGTACAAAACGGGATCAGTTACCAGCATCTGAAAGGTCCCGAGAGTGTTATCATCTATAAAATTTCCATAAAAGGAACATATTCATTCTGCATTAGAGATGCTGAGAGTTTCAGTGAGCTGACTGCAAGCACTCAGCATGTGAATATTCTTCTAGGAATGGTTTCTAAATCTAAGTTCTCAAGCCGATGTTCATCCTGCTCTTGGGACTTACTTTTCCACTCATCTATAAGAAGGTCCCTGCTTTCAAAGGACTGATCATAAGGATCGGCCACTGGTTCATCGTCAGGATCGTGGTACTGAGCAAAGTAGGCATGTGCGAGGGCCTGGGCTGCTGTGATCCTCTTATCTGAGTCCAAAACCAGCATTTTCTCCAGCAAATCAACGGCTTCAGGTCCGGAAAGTGGGAGGAAATAAGAAGAGTTTTAACATGTTACAAGAAGTTATACCTTAGAAGGAAATACACGGTTTTGATCCTTCAGGCTTAAACAAAGAATTCAGCTCCAAAAACTCTGCTTCGAATGCATCTTTATTCTTTTGTATATGTTATGTGTGCCTGCATGTGAACACGGATGGGAGGATTTTTAGGGAACTTCTCTAAAGACTTGCTGTCAGAGTCAATTGATTATCAATACAGACCAATAGCCTTACAGTGAAAGGCGAAGAAGCAGGTAGGGTGTTGTCCCACTCATAATTTATTTACTAATTTAAGGTAAATAAACATTAATCAAAAAAGACCTTTAAACAATGAATAAACTGAGAATTCAGGGGCTTGGGGAGCCATGATGATTACCATTATATACATGCTGATGTATTTTTGCTAAACCATTTTAAAATGAATTTATAGACATGATATTTTATCCCAAAATATTCAGCATAAAGACATCTTTCTACTTAATCATAATTCTGTCACCATATCAACAACTGAACAACACACACATCTAATCTAAAAACTAATCTCTGTTAAACTTTCTCCAATTATCCTAAAATTGTTTTTCATGGTTGATTTACTCCAACCAGGATTCAATTATGGATCATTTAACTGCGTCTCATTAGTAATTTTTAATCTAGAACAGTCCCTCACCTTCTAAATAATCTCTTTACCCAACTATAACCTGAAAAGATCTCCCAGTTGTCTTAAGAATGAACCATCAAAGACAGCTTATTGGTACTGAGCATATTCTCTGAAAAAAGTTAAATATAAAACTCTTATAAGAACGGACTTAAACATTGTTGGCAAGAATATTTTCTATGTGATGCTATATATTTCATATTAAATTAATCAAAGCATCAAATGTGATCACTGGGTTAATGTTTTCCTCCTGGCTTCAATCAAGTACTCCATGGGATCACTTCCTGTAAATCTTTCACTTAATTAATGGCTTTTAGCATCCATTGACTTTTCCTCGCCAAAATTATTTCAATAAGGATTACAAAATGATGATTTTCCTTTCTTTCAAGAAAATATGCTTTCAGTTTCCAAACATGGGAGAATAGATACTGCCATGGGCACTGTTTATCACTTCAGTAAAACGGAAAAGTTTTTGTGATTTTACAAATTATTGATGATTCATTAAATGAAGAAAAGGGGTGAATTAGTGAACTAGAGGCCAGCTTCCTGAACCCACCTATTGTTGAATAAACTGGAGGCAATAATTGACCCTGGAGTTGCAGCCCAAATTCCAGATTAATCCAAGTGAGAGATGGGATTTCGAGGATATATAGAAACAAAGTGAATATTCACGTGCTCAATCTAGTTTGACTTTAAAGTAGTAATAAAATTGCACAGCTGGGTATTCTCTTAAGTCTTTTCTTACTAGAAAAATACTTACCAGCTGTTGGTTTTATAATCAAATATGGCTATGATGAGTTTGTGATTCCTAGGGTAAGAAGTACTATATCTTTATAACTGTTGCCTTTGATGAGGAATAAGGATAGGGATAAGAAAGACCCCTCAAAGGTCTTGACACACATAAGTACACTGATTAATATCAAAGGGCTGCTCAAGTTTTAATTCATATTTTGGGAATAATAATGCAACATGAAGTCAGTGATGGATAAAATGGAGCTGGTAATATTTGCCTGTTCCTATTCAGTTAACTTGCTGGGCATGAGTTCATGATCAGTAACATCATGTCCTGTCTGCCAAACAAGAGGAGCCTCTTGAGGTGACATCACTGTCTGGCAATGAGCTGAAAAGCACATTGAACTTACAGAGAAGTGCAGTGCTGAGCACCAGATGGACCAAATCCTACCACCAACTCACAGTCAGTGCACTGCAAAGTGGTGACCAGGTCTTTTGAAAGTCATAATGTCATGATTCTGAGGACTAGGGATGTGTGTGACCCAGAGAAGCTGCCAGGATGCACATATTTCCTATCATTCCCAGATACACAGGGTAAGAAATTTTGTTGAGGCTGCCAGCAGTTTATACTGCCAAGTCTATAACTCAAGGCTAATTTGATGAGAAAAAAATCAAGATACAATGACAGACTAAAAAGCTACCAGTCCACATTCATGTTTATTGCTGTGTTGTTCACAATAGCAAACAGATGGAAGAAACCCAAGTACCCATCAACAAATGAATGGAGAAGCTCTGGTATATTCACACAATGGAATACTACACAGCACTGAAAAATAAGGAACTCATGCAATATTATACAAAATGGGTGACCCTGGAGAACATTATGCTGAGTGAAATATCTCAGTCACAAAAGGCCAAATACTGCATAATGCCACTGTTATAAAACAGGACTGACACTGGGGGTTGTGGGAAAACTAAGAAAATAGGGGATCAGTAATGACACTGCATTGGCACAGATGAGGGAGAGAACTTTTTAAAAGCAATACATGATTAGGCATTATTTGCATGACAACAGTCCATAATAAGAGGCACATAGCAGGTGGACTGTTGAGGGGACGAAATTGTGCAAATATGAATGAATTTTTTAAAGTGAAAAGTGAATTGGGGCAGGGGTAGGGAGGAAAATGTGCAACAATGAATGAATGGAAAATGCAAGTTTTCTGTAAACTTTCATTAAAAGCACAATAAAAAATTACAAAAAAAGAAAATAGAAAAAAAGAAAGCCATCAATACACCATGTCTTAATTAAGTAATCAATGTTTAAGTCCTTTCAAGCCAGAATTCTCACAGATTCTTGAAATGGGTAATGTTGTTGTTGTTGTTAAGTGCTGTCGAGTTGCAGGCGACTCATAGCAACCCTATGAAGGAGAGTCCTTGAAGCTTGGGTGCCTTTCATCCTCTTTCCAGGTTCATAGGGTTTCCGGAGGCAAGCTATTATGGAAGTGGATGCCACTCCTCCTTCCAATGAACTGGGTAATACAGCTCAAGTATATCAAGCAAAACCAACAAGAACACCTGGCACGCAGATGCAAACCTAAACCAACCTCAGTGGAATTCTGAATGTCTCTGATGAGTTTGTGAATTCATTCTTGGATATGAGAGTGACTCAGCCAAGGTCTAGCATATTTTTTATCACCAAGACTGATGCAGTCTCGTCCATAACTGCTCTACACTTCTAAGAGTGTAAGCCAATCAGTGTAAGAATTATCACAGCAACACTGACCCTCTTCTCAATAAGCACTAAAAACAAAGCACTTAAGATAGAATCATCTAACCTTTAGGCCCTGGTCTTCACAATTACTTGCTATGCATCAGAGAGCCGGACAATGACTAATGATGATAGAAAAAGAATTGATGCCTTTGAGCTGTGGTGCTGAAGAATATTGAACACACTATGGGCTGCAAAGAGAACAACCAGGTATGTCCTGGAAAGGGTGAAACTGAGCTGCTCCTTGGAGGCAAGGATTTTGAAGCTCTGTTTCACATACTTTGGGCATGTTGCCAAGAGGGACTAGTCCTTGGAGAAGGACATTATGCTTGGAAGGGTAGAGGGCCAGCACAAGAGAGGATGAGCTGGACTGACACAGTAACTGGGGTAATGGGAGTAAGTATGTTGGAGACAGTGAAATTGGCTCAGGATAGGGCAGGGTTCAGAGCTAGCATATATACAGCATGCTACGTGGTGGGTCCACTGAACTCCTGGAGGGTCCTAAATACGCGCCTCAGTCTGGGAGACTATAAAGTAACAGCAGTTGTGAACAGTCACAAGCTTTCCTCTGCACTGCTGTCTTCCTGCCTTCCCCAATCTCTTCTTCCATCATTTCCATTACTTTCTCCACTGTACCAGCCCATTCCCCCACCAAATCCTATGTGACTATAGTATATATGCAGCATCTGATGAAAAAAAAATTAGACAACACAAATACAGGTGATACATATTTATCACCTTCCAAGACTGAAATGATGGTACATTATTCAATCACAATCATAGTTGACTTTATGGCACCTAACAACATTTAATCACAAGGAAAAATTCTTCTTTAGATTCCTAACTTGTATTATAATCAATTCAGTGCCCGTTAGAAGAGGACACAGTCAACTTACCCAGGGGATTGGCACCAATAAATACATTTGCAAAGTTCATTTTCGGCATCTGGGTCAAAGACTGAATATAGTTTCTTGCCTGTAAAAACAAGGGTTTTCAGAATGACAATTCTTTAAATTTTCTGTCCTCAAAGATTATTGGTCAGGGAACAAGTGTTAAAAAAAAGTGTTAATTGTTGACAAAGTTGCCCAGCTCTATGTTTTTTACTGTCTTTGATATTCTTCAAACTTTATATTCTTATTACCATCCTAACTTCCTTATTCATGATTGTCACCTGTGTTTATTCCTGACAGCTCTCCCAGCTATATTTCAAGTGAGCAGGAAGGCTAAACGATTTAGTTTTCTTTCATTAGCTCTCTGATCACAGGATCAGAAGCCTAAAATAGGAAAGAAAAATATGTAAGTAACTTATCTGTACCCAGTAACATTTCTAAATAACTAAAATTGGCATAATGGTTGGTCGTACACGTAGTCTGTTGCTGATGCGCCGGAGGTGCTCTTAGTATATTAACAGAATATCAATATTAAGTCTTGCTAACAAGAAGAAACTCTGGTAACGAAGACAGTGAACATAAACTCACTATTCTTCAAAGAGGTTTAAGCACATTTAAAAATAATTTTAAAAACAAACTATTAAGAGTAATAGAGAATTGTCTTTACAAATAGGTGGTATAAATTACACGGACCACACAGAAACCATTATTACGTTTGACACATCAGTGTCATAGGGTTTGGTGGTGCTCCCCGATTAAAACAAGCTTGGAAGCAGGAGTGGCATCCACTTCCCAAATAGCTTGCCTCCAGAAACTCTATGAACTTTGAGAAATGATGAAAGTTATACAAGTGTTCAGGTCTTTCATTCATAGGGTCACTATGAGTTGTCTATGACTCGACGGCACTTAACACCACCACCACCACCACACAGAAATCTTTGCCCTGCCACTTACTTTATAAGCTGAGCTGCATCTTCTTGGGCATGTCTCAACTGACTTGCCAACTTCCTAATCAGTAAAATGTTAATATTAATATTGGTCTTTCCATAGCACATGGTTATTGTAATAGTCAAGATATCCTCATGGAAGCACTTTGGAAATGAAAAGTCCTGACACAAATAACACTTGTATCACTGGCACAGTTATAGCTGGTAGAGCCTGTAGGTAGGTCTACAGATCTGTAGGTCTCTAGAATGGGGCTGGTTAGAGTTTGAATCTTGACTTTACAACTCAGGCCAAGTTATGAATCCTCTTTCTGTAAAATAGGAATAGAAGAGTGTCCACACCTCATTTTCTTAGGATGCTTCAACTTAAACAGATCTAAACTTCATTCTAAAGAACTTAAGGTGCCAACTGTGTTTAAGGACTGATGGTGCTCTCCTATCAAGGCAAATGGTCTTGATTAAAACAAAAATTAGTCCTGAGAATAATCAGAAATGTTAACGTATAACAATATATTTTAGGTATGAGTTATAAAACTGTTGTTACTTCCCCTGTTGCAAAGAATTTATCTGAAGAGTTGAGATAAAATTCGTTCAATCTGTCCCTAACCATCTCTTACAATTTGTTTTAATATAACACAAGTATAAGGTATATGTGTGTATATATTTGTGATCATCACCTTAATGAATTCCTGCTATTTCTCCCACATGGTAAGAACAAGTTTTGGAAACTCTACCTTTTTATGTAGTGTGTGTAGAACAAGTAGGAAAGGCTCATTTTAAAATGCAATTGAGAATCTTTACTACTTGGGAAGAAAGTTCTAGAAATTCAATATATATCTGGATGTAAGCAAGCTCTTCCCACTAAGCTTGTAGATAAAAGGATGAAAATAATCACTCCTTTATTAGAGATAAATAGAAATGCAACATGGATACAGCCAAAGTAGGAAAAAAGGTGCTGGGAAGGATCTGTGTTGAAATCTGCCAAAATATTATAAACAAAGGAGTATCCCCAATATCGCTGGTGATACAGCTAGAGTTCGGTTAAATAGTTAAAATAAACAGAGCATCTAGTTCTACCTAAGTGTTCATATTTATATTTTATTATTTGTATATTAGGGGTTTGGTCTTCATTTTTTCCCTCACATGCAATTTCATTTATTTCCAGTTTCACAACTCACAATTCAAAAGACTTTATTTACCACATTCTGTTAACTTATTAGTCAAGAGATGAAGAGTTTTCTTGTGTGCATGAAGGAAAGAGATCACATATCCTGTCTCTTTAGGTCATGCACAGTGCTAAATTCTTCTTTGTAACTGAAGCACACCAATTTTGTTTCCTCTGTATTAGCTAGGTATGCTTCAGACTTCCACAACATCAGTCTGAAATTTCTGATTTATTCATTTGCTTACAGCATACTCTCCTATTTGGTTTCCGGAGTTACCTGTTGCTGCTACACCATGGACCAGGACGAGGCTGCTGGCCTGCCCATAAAGAAAAGGCCTGGCATTGTTGCTTTCAAAATGTGTGTCGTTTTCTGAAGAGGGGTTAATTTTCTAGGCTGTGGGGATAGGGATTGGATCCAATAGGGGTGTAACTTCGGCAGTTGGTGCCTTTTTGGTCTTCATTTTTTATCTTTTTAAGTTTATAAATAAAGAATGCTATTTGGTAATTTAAAAAATCTGAATAGAATAGGCATGCTAAACTAATTAAACGATTTATTTTAAGTTTTTTTATTTTATTTTTATTTTTGTGTGAATGTACCATCAAATCAGATCTGACTGTTACAGGAGGGGATTGTCCCTCCTTCCCCGGCAAAGCATCTGGTGGATTCGAACCGTGCGCCTCTGGGCTTGTAGTTGCAGCTCCTTGCCACTAGGCCACCAGAGCTCCCTATTTTAAGTTTTAAATAAAGTGTTATACAGGCAGCTTAAGTTTACGAGATGGTAGGTAGCTCTACCTGTAGACATAACACCCAGGAAGAAGCAAACAGCTCTTGAACACTAAATCAGTAGTAACATTCAAATATAAAAATAACACCATTTTCTTTTTACAAATCTAGAAGTTATTCTTAATCCACAGGACTGGATGACATTTTATATCCAAATTCAATATCTTGCAATAACGCACAGGCAGACACTGCCTCAGTATTTGGGACATGCAAGCATTCAGTTACATTAAACACTGCTGGTTATTAAGTGGCAATAAAACGTGAATCTGGCCCTTGGAATTACACACTCCTGTCTAGTCTACTTGTACACGCTACTTGTGCTCACCTCATGGCTTGGCATCCTGTTAATGAGATAAGCAGGGGGTGTCCCCGTCAGACGCATAATCTGCTGAAGCTGGTTAATATCTTAGATGCCTAGTCAAGGGCATTGTTAAGCACACAGTTCAAAAAACAACTTTCAAGTTTTTATAAAGGCCAAAAAGTCATTCCAAACCAAACAAAAATCCCACACTCTCCCACGCACCCGGCATCCCTCCCAGCTAGAGGCAAGTCTGCAGGGTAAAGCAATGCTTCTGTGAATGGTAGGAGCCTCATCCGGCATGGAGCCAACAACTGGTTATGCACATAAGGAAAGTGAATTCCCTGCAGTTTCAGCACCAACATTAAATGTTTTAGATTTCCTGGAAATAGACTGCCTCTTGGTTTAGGATGGCAGCCAGTAAACTATTGGCCAAACCCCTAAATGCAGGTAGGATAAAGGTAGATAATGCAGAAAATTTATACTCAATGTCAAATGAGGAAAAAATATCCTGTATCCCATTCAAGGAAGAGACTAGATTTTTGTGGCAGAGTTTCTGGTGAATCTCCCAGGTGCTCCCCTCCGCCCCCAAGTGGAAAGGGAAGGTGCATGTGTGTGTGGATAAGCACTGTCAAGTTTAATGACATTAGTTGTGTACACTTAAAATACATGCCACAGACACACAATGGTAAATGGAGAAAGGTGGTGAGGGTGAAAATTAGTGTCACAGGCTGCTAACAGTGTTACAGCATGCCAAAATTATTTCTCCCAGAAATCTCTTCACTGGTAAAGAAACTATGTCACCTAATAAATATCTGGGAGGAAACAGGCAAAAACATGCAGCAATAATAGGAAAAGAGCAGAACTATGAGGCATGTATATAAGTTGTCATATCCAAACTTTTTAAACTATCAATGTCAAAAATAATCCACCTGCACTTTGAGAACTATTCATCATAGTCCATCCAAGAGCACTTCTTGAAAAAATTTTCACAAATCTGTTTTCTGTCCTCTTTCTCCTCAACTAATTCAGTGCCTTTTTTCTGTTGTTGGATCATTTTCGACAAGCACAATGGTCAAGTGAGTTCACTTGTTTGCAGTTTCCCATCTGTAATCTTTCCACATTTGCGCCTGATCTGAACTCAAACCTCCAAATGAGTGGATTGTGGCTAATACACATTTAAGGCTGGTGACCAGGGAAGCGCTGGGGCCAGTACACCAGCTCGTGTCTTATGTCCTCTAAGCCCAAAGTTAGAGGAGCATGAAGTTCTTTTAACAGCCCTACAACTAAGTTTAGATTTACCTTTAAATAAATTACATAACAAACAGCTCTGTGTGCCAAGAGATATAAAACAAAGGGAGCCACTAAAGTGAGCGTCAAGAGGAAAAAAGTTAGAATCGTGTCAAATTTCCTTGTCTTTTCTGTGAACAATATTTGGCCAGTTCAGTGTACATACCTTGTTTTACTGAGCTTGCTTTACTGTGTGTTGCCAACACTGCATTTTGCTTAAGTTATTTAAAAAATACAAATTGGAGGTTTGTGGCAATTCTGTGTCAAACAAGTCTCTGGGCAATTTTTTTCTATTTTCCTTTTTTTTTTAAACAACATTTGTTCACTTCATGGTTGGGGTAACATTTTGGTTAATTCTCAAAGCGCTTCAAGCTTTTTTGTAATGTTACTACACACTTCACACATGACAGTGCAGTGTATCATGATCTTTATATGCACTGGGAAGCCAGAAAAATCCGTATGACTTGTTTTATTTATTGTGGTGGTTTCAAAGTGAACCCATGATGTCTCCAAGGAATGCCTATATATTTTCTGTTTTTCCTCCTTTCCTCAAATGGGTCATTACAGCTCCCTCTTGTCAGGAGGTTAAGAAGAATGTATTTCCAGAAAAAAATGTGAGGGGAGTCAGTGAAAGAGTTTTTGGTTTCTTAATATGACCCCCCCCCCCAACTTTCACTGATACTATAATTACTGATCACCACTTAAAAAATCATCCTCAGCCGTGCATCATGATTCTGCTACCCTATGGTGCATCCAGAACCCATGGTGGCTCGTTGGCTAAGCGTCTGGCTGTCAATCAAAAGGGCAGTGGTTAGACCATCCCGGCTGCTCCACAGGAGAGAGACACGGTACTTCTCCCTTTGAGACTCTATGGTGAGGGTCTACTGTTTCTGACAGGATCATGAAGAGTCAGAATTGACTCATGTCCATGGGCTGGCAGGACATCCTAAACTGCTCTTAGTCAACACGTTCACTGTCACCTTTTCTGACAGAGAACTGTCTGCTATTTAGAGACTGAAATTCTACATCCATGTGGGCATCATGTTTAAGGAGCAATGAAAACAGCTATGGGCTTTCTGTTTATTACATTCCTTAATGAATTAATCTTCCCTCCCTCAAATCTTTGAACAGTTTCACTTACCTGTCTTTGTTATTTTTTCCACTGTGTGCACCATCCATTACGCGCTTCCATTCAAGATAAGCAAATACTTGGGCAGTGCCACTAATGTCATCATGAGGTGGACTTGTCTTGGTGGCAACAGGCCTGGTTTTTAGGCTTTTGACTGTCTACTTTTGTCTACTTGCCACAACTACGTAGGAAAATAAGCCTGTGCCAAACGTGGTAATGGGTACCCATGGTGGACAGTGTTGGCTGGAGCTTCCCGACTAAATCAAGCCTGGAAGCAGGAGCGGCATCCACTTCCGAAATGGCTTGCCTCCGGAAACTCTATTTACGAACAGTGCTCAGGCCTTTCGTTCATAGGGTCGCTATGAGTCGTCTAGGACTCGAAGGCACCTAACAACAACAACAACAACAACAACAACAACAACAACAACAATTATACCTACATTTAACACAGTATCATTTGAGAAAGACTGTATTCAAGTGCTTAAAAGCTTACTGTGTCCATCTTTAGACATAAATATAAATGTCCATTAAGAAGTAAGAGGTAACAACAACAAAAAAAAAAAAAAAAAAAAAGGAAGAAAGAGGTGTCTCGTTTCACATAAAGACACAACATTAACATGTCATGCATGGAATAACGATAAATATTACTACTCTGCCCATACTTTCTCTTTTAGAATTTTTTTGGCGACCAACAGCATATATTTATAGGACAGATGGTTAGGGAGTGGGAGATAATACTGGGGAGACACTGGCAGTTATTCCTAGACAGGATAAGAATTTGCTGTCTCAGCCTCATTAGCACTATTCATCAGCTAACTAAGGTCCTGTATAGGCTTCTATCTCTATCCCCAAGTTTCTTTACTAGCGAATCTTTGTAAGCAAAATGCCTTTAAAAAAAAAAAAAGAAAAAGAAAGGCTCTCTGTCTCTAAGCATCATCTCTTATCATCCTTGATGTAACTCCAATCCAGCTTCTGCATTTCATAAAGCAACAAACACTCTTTTGGGCTGATGTCATGGTCAATAGCTGACAAAGACTTTCAAGTCGTGTGCAATCACTTGAAATTATAGTGTGGACCCTGTTATCAGAACATCTGGGATCTATACTCAGCTCTGCCAAGTGACTCTGTGCATGACTTGGGCAAAATCACAGGCTTTCTATGTTTGTTTTTTGTTGTTGTTGTTCACTCGTCTTAGTCAAATACGACTAGCACATCCTTTAAAGTAGAAACTCAGAAATACACTGGGTTGTGTTGTTTCTTAAGAAATGCATCAAATACATACCAAATGATGGTATCCTTTATTTTGTCAATGACATGATGAACAGTTCAAACTCACCTGCTCATGCCTGCCTGAAGCTACCCAGCAGTCTTCCCACTGGGAAAAGGGGCCCCTTCAGTCTGAAATGTTGGGAGGAGAATCTGGGAAGGTACAACTAGAGGTCAGCTCAACAGTTCTTTTCCCCTTTCATCCAAGTGCATGGTGGCAGCCAGGGTTGGCAGGAATAGAGGGGAGAGGGAAGAAATACTGGACTTTCATGGCTTCACCCATGTCTCTGGCTCAAGAAAATGACCAAAAGCAGGAAATCATGGCCAAAGTGAGCAGGGGTCACATTCCCATGGCTTCTCTTTAAATTCCTGCTGAGAAACAGGAAAGCACGAGCTCCAGAGCTGCTTCTCACGTTATTCAGTGTGTGTTCACAAAGGGAAGCTGTGGGAGGAAGGCTTTAAGCCACCCTCCTGTAACTCTGAGGTGTCAGCAAGGGGGTGTTTCCTTTGAGCAGGCCGAGGACCCTGTCGTGAGGTAGCCCTCTACAAGTCCCGTGTGCTTGCTGGGAATGGAATTCCCTACACAGGATGTGTGCGTTGTTCATGCTACATAAATAACTTCTAGAAAAGGGCAACAACATGCAGATCAATGTACATTTCACTAGTGGTGAACCTCGACCAATCCACGGTAAAGCTTGTGTTCTGAGAACAAGCATTACACAGAAAGTGAAAATTTTTTTGAGAATGCGTGACTATTGACAAAGATGAAGTTAAAGCTTGAGAACAAAGAACCAAATTTTCCATTAATCTCTTGCAATGAATTGATCTCAAATCTCATTGCTTTACTTTGATATTATTGCCTACTAGAGGCGCCCATGATTTAATCAGAAACCACGATGAGAGGGAAAGAAAGAGAGAAAGAGAAAGAAAAAACATAGTCACACACACACATGCATTCACATATATCTCATCCTGGAAGTCATGTAAGTGCTTACAAACATACCCGGGTCAGAGCATCGAGTGATGGGAGGAAAACAGTAGAAGTAAGGAGGAACTGAGGTTCCTGACAGGGCAGACAAGTACAATCAAAGCATCAACTCACAGACTCTGAGGAGATTTTCTTCAAGAGCTCAGCCCCTGGGGTTCCAACGAGTCTTAAAATGAGCTTCAACTGATCAATATCTAATGGTGGACTATAAAGGAAAATGTTGGGACAAAATAAAAATGAAAAATAACAAACAAAACAAACAAAAAATAAAACAAAAATAAAAAACTCTAACAAGTAAAAAAAAAAAAGAAAGAAAGAAAGAAAAGAAAGAAAAAAAAAGCCCAAAACAGTGACTTCATCTAGTCAGTCCAAAGCTTCTGAGTGTTGGTCACTTCAAGTAGAATATACTCCTTCTGTACAAAGATTAAAAATGCTACCACACACATATCCACTTGTTATTTACCATGTGTACCTATCAACATCACTCATTAGTAAGATATAAAGACTTCAGCAGGTACTCAGTTGCCAAAGACAGCAGGTGAAAGCAAAAAACATTTTAATCAGTTCATGTCCACATCTATCTTACCTTCCACCAAAGCTTGAACCAAGCAAAGAGCACTGGTAAGCAAAGGCTATAGAGAGGGGTGAAGGGAAGCACAGGAGCTGGGGGAGTGTAAGCCTATTTGTGAATATTTCCTTAAGGTTTGACCTAAAGAGTTTGTAATCTGACAGGGTCAAGGTTTGCAAGAAGATCCCAACGCCGAACGCTAGAGCATGTCTTCTAGAAGCCTGATTAGAGAAATGAGTGACACTCAGCCAGCAGAGGGCACCCCTCTACTGCCTGTTCTTATCAAAACGGCAACCAAGTTCATGCCATGGAGTGGATGTACACCCACGGGGATCCCTCCATCAGCTTTCCCACTCTATAAGTCTTCATAGGATGATACAGTCCATCTTTCTCCTGAAAAGCAGCTGATGGATTAGAACTTTTCAATTAGCAGTGCAATATGTTATCAACTATGCCACTAGGGAACAGTAGGATATCAAATTACTCTTGACATTACTCTTAACATTCAACTTCCTTTCTTTAGGTAAAAGTTATTAGAATCGATGTACTTTATAGTTTAAGGCAACTGGTTAAAAATATGCCGATTTCATGGAGATACAATAATAAACCCAAGACACATTTTCTAAGTAAAGCTAAGAATCAGAAAAACCCACTGTAGAATCAGCTGAGTTCTGACTTGATGGTGATGAGTTTTAGTTATGAGAGGTGCTTTTTGAAGCCAGGCGAACATGTATGGAGTAATAGAGTAACACAGCACAGGCAACAAGACTAGTTGATACGTAGGAAATACACTAATTCCTAGTGCAAAATTAAGGAGCTCCGGTGGCATAGTGTGTGACGTGGCAGGCAGATCTAGCTGCAAGGAGCAGTTCAAATCCACAATCTGCTCTTGGAGAAAGACAGGCAGTTTCTTCTTGTACAGATTTACAGACTTAGAAATTTGATGGAGGGTCAAGCTATATGTCAAACTAGACTCTGTGGCAGCAAGTTTGGTGTTTTGGTTAGTTTAAAATCGAGATCTAGGTTTAGTGCTGAATGATTACCAATTAACAAGTTTTGAGAATTTTAGGAAAATCGGACAGTCAAGTTTGAAAATTGAAAAGTGGTGACAGATGACGAACTTGAGCGTTAGTCTCCATGCACCCTCTTCTGTCACAGGATTCCTGAAGAATTTTCTATGCAATTTCTCTCATCTGATTTATTTTCTGATTATGCAAATTGATAATTAGAAAATGTTTTCTATTCAACTAATACAGTTTTTGTCTTTAAGAATTGCCTGTTTGGAACAATGTCACTTGTCTCCTGTCAAGTTTTACACGAATAGAGTCTTCTCAACTTCAAGTCTCAGTTTACACTTCACCTCCTCTGTAACCACTCCCACTACTCCATAGAAGAGTGACAAATTCTCTGGTATTCTTAATCCTAACACTAGTGCTTACCACAATCTATAATCACTATGTTTGCTTACTTATTTTTGTCTAACATCTTTTACTGCTCCATAAGCTTTGAGAGGGCTCTGGCTGTTTACTACTTAAGCCAATGCATAACATCTTAACACACAGTGCTATTGTTGTGTACCATTGAGTCAAAACCGACCCATAGCTGACCCTCTGGAGGGTTTTCAGAGGTAGTTTTAATCTCATGGGCGGAGACTTCCCATCTTCCTCCCAGGGAGCCACTGGTATGTTCAAACTATATGCCTTTGGATTTGCAGGGCAGATTCTTATCACTAGGCTACCAGAGCACCTTACACATGGTGGTTGTTGTTATGTGCTGTCAAGTCACCTGCGACTCATAGCGACCCTATGTACAACAGCCCTAAATCCTGCTCTATCCTCTGCCAATCGCACTGTCTCCAACACACCTACCTCGATTACCCCAGTCACTGAATCAATCCACCTCATCAAGGGTCTTCCTCTTCTGTGCCGTCCCTCCACGCTCCCAAGCATGACGTCCTTCTCCAAGGATTGGTCTCTCCTTGCAACATGTCCAAAGTATGTCAGATGAAGTTCCAGAATCCTTGCTTCCAAAGAGCAGCCTGGTTTAACGCTCTCTGGGATGAACCTATTTGTTTTCTTAGCAGTCCATGGTATATTCAATACTCTTCTCCATCACCACAACTCAAAGGTATCAATTCACCTTCTAGCCTATTTAGTCATTGTCCAGCTCTTGGATGCATAGCAAGTGATTGCAAAGACCATACCCTGTATGAGGTGCACCTTAGTCTCCATTGTGACACCACTGCTCTTCAGTACTTTGGAGAGGTCCCTAACAGCAGACTTTCCTATTGTAATATGTCTTTTAATTTCCTGGCTGTTGGTGCCAAGAGTGTTGACTGTGCAGCCAAGCAAACTAAAGCTGCTGACAATCTCAATCTCTTCACCATCCATCCTGATGCTGACAATTGGTCCAGTGGTGAGAATCTTTGTCTTCTTGGCATTGAGCCTCAATCCATACTGGAGGCTGCAGTCCTTGACCCTCTTCAGCAAGCGTTTCAGGTCCTCCTCAGTTTCAGCAAGCAGGGCTATGTCATCTGTATAATGCAGAGAGATCTTCCACAAATCTTGACCCAACATTTCTCCTCATAGAGCCCAGCCTCCCAGATAATCTGTTCTGCATACAGGTTGAAAAGGTACGGAGACAGGACACATCCCTGGCGTACGCCATTCCCAATTTTGAACCATGCAGTGTTCCCCTGCTCTGTTCTGCCGACTGCCTCTTGGTCCAAGTATAGGTTTCGCATTAGCACGATCAGTGTTCTGGGATTCCCATTCTTCTCAGAGTCAGCCACAGTTTGTTATGATCCACACAGTCAAATGCCTTTGCATAATCAATGAAACACAGATACACATTCCTCTGGTACTCCCTGCTTTTAGCCAAGATCCATCTTACATTAGCTACAATATCCCTTGTATCATGACCCCTTCTAAACCCAGTCTGCACTCCTGGCAGTTCTCTGTTGATGTGCTCTTCCAGTCGTTTTTGGATAATCTTCAGCAGACTCTTGCTTGCATATGATATCAAAGATAACTGGAAATACCCGTGATTCGATTTACAAAAATTCAGTTCCCTAATGAAAATAAAATCTGTTGCCAATGGAAAAAAAAATTCAGTTCCCCTACACTTTTTCTAGAACACAGTTAACTAAATAGCAATCCCATAATATAAACTATACATGAGAAAAAAACTAGACTGTTTCTACTCTCCAACAGGTAGTTTTATAGTATATAAAGTCTCCAGAAATGCTGTTAAGATTGGTAAACCTGTTTAAAAGGCTTCTGACTACTTACAATGAGGGTCAAGTTTTATGTTCTTCCTAAGAAAGGCTGAACATTCAGTATATGAGACTCACAGTCCATGTTGTAAACACTATCTGCAAACCATTTCTCATGTTATTTCTAAAGATGAATAATATGTATAATATATGAGAAAAGTATTATCTCCACAATATATTAAGAAGGAAAACAGGTCTTTTTTGCTTCAATCATATGAAATTATATACTAAGTTCTGTCTCTGGCAAAGTTGTAATGCTGTTCTCTTGCCAAATGGCCACATTTCTGTGATGGTTTGAGTGGCTCTCAGGATTCTCCTTTCAAGCAACTTATGGCTTTAAAAACCTACTGGAGGGTCACTAGGTGATTCAAAAGCAGTGACTTTTGACTTACTGTCCTCTAGCCTTTGAGTTCTAGTTTCTGAGAGAAATGGCTTTTTTTGTCAATTATGACACTACGTTTAAAGAAGACTTTATCTACCGTGGGCAATCCCTTTCTTGTGATTTACTGCCTCTGAAAACCCCCTGGAGGCTTAGCTATGAGTTGGTCCCAAATCAACAGTAAACAATAACATCTTTATCTGCAGTGATTACATAAGTAAAAACTGTCCATGATTGGTAGGCCTGAAAGCTTTACCAGAGTAACTTGGGGGCCAAATTTTAAAATACCGAAAGAGTACAGCTTCAAATGGAAACACAGGGAATTTAACAGTGGAGTTAATTGCTAACCATTTCTTGAATGCAAAGTTTATTTGGTAAAAATGTATACTACTGCAGAATGCATTTAGCATAACCAATAGGGCCTGTTTTAGGAAAAACTAGGAGGTAGGTAATGGGGTAGGTGTGTCAGAGACAGTGAGATAGGCTCAGGATAGGACAAAGGTTAGAGCTATTGTGCATGGGGTCACTATGAGTCGTAAGTGACTTGATGGCATGTAACAACAACAACAACAGTGCAGCACTACCTGTGCTATTCAGTGAGGGTTCTATAGTTTCTAACAATTACATCAAGATAATAGAACTAAAATCTTAACATTGGAAACTTCTCTTTTTTTTTTCCTTTCTAACCATGTGGTCGGAGGATAGAAGAATTGACGCCTTTGAGCTGTGGTGCTGGAGAAGAGTATTGAATTTACCATGGACTACCAAGAAAACAAACAGATTCATCCTAGAGAGTGTTAAACCAGGCTGCTCCTTGGATGCAAGGATTCTGGGGCTTCGCCTGACATACTTTGGACATGTAAGGAGAGACAGGTCTTTGGAGAGGGACATCATGCTTGGGAGGGTGAAGGGAGAGCGCAGGAGCGGAAGACCCTTTATGAGGTGGATTGATTCAGTGACTGGGGTAATCAGA